CCTGTCAGTTTTCGTAAATAATTTCAGAAAGAAATTATTTTTGATTTAAATTCACAATTTTTAATTTAAATATTAATTATTGTATATATTTCTATACATAATATTGTCTGCCTATGAATGAATTTGAAAAATTTCTTTTGCTGTTTCAAAAAATTTGGCAAAAGAATAATATCTGAAATGCTTTTAAAATTTCAAATCGGACCGCTGCATCCTAGATCGCATATATCAACCGCAAATTACAGTTGCAATACCAACTGATGCATTAAAATACCCAACAATGTGGAACAAAAAGAGAAAGTTTTGCTTAAAATTATGTTTGGGGAAACAAAAGTGAATTTAGTAAAAAAAAAAGTAAATGAAAAGAAAATTTTATTAACAAAAAAAAAAAACAAATAAAATTTTATTATTTGGCAGCACATGTGAAAGGGACGTTGACAGGGCATGCAATTGAAATGTACTTTGATTCATTCAAACCGACCAAGCACATACGAACATACATTGCGCTCGTATATACGTACATATGTAAGTGAATATGTAAGTGAATATGCAGTTTAGATCGTTACGTTACGAAATGAAATAAATGAAAATCTAATAAATTGCATTCACTGGTAACAAACCAAGCAATTTATATGTAATGTAGTATATAATGTACGAACGAGTATGTATAAATATTGCCAATTTACATTCTAATTGCAACTCTTTGCGGCGCACCGCGGCTGCCGTATTGCCGTATGGCCGTATTGAACATAAGCCGCACCGCTTGCACATAGTGACAAGACGATAAATTGTAATTCGTGTTGCCATTCTGTCTGCCATTGCTTTGTCATGCTTGACGTCGTCTGACAACCGGGCACTACGAGTACACTTAAAAATGCCTTGTGGTCTGTGTACTGGGCGGTCGGGAGGTGTGTTGCAGAACAAGTGATCGTGCTGCAGATAGCTTAATAAAGGCGTGCAAACGAGTGTTTGACTTGTATTGCGGCTTTTTTATATGAGACTTTAAGTATTGTGTGTGAATATGTGGTTGTGTGCGCTTGTACGTTTTTTTTTGTAGCTTGTACGTTTAACATACTAAGATCATCAGATCTGAACAGACAAACTGGCACTGGCGGATTCCTTAACTGAAATAAAATGAACTAAGCGGAAAAAACCTTGTACCAGTGTAATGTACTGCAGTGAGACTGCTGCACTGTAGCACTGTAGCACTGCAGCACTGCACATACACACCGCACAAAATATATATGCCGGCAGATTACATTTTAATAAATCAATGATTATTAATGGCTTGTTAATGTTACGCTACTTATCCAAATATACGCGATTGGATCTATATGCAGGTGTATGTTTGTATATTTATATAATTATTTTTATAGAGAAGTGTCGGCATAATATTAATTATATTACAGATAAAGTATAAGGTAGACAATTGGACGTAAGATAATAATTCTTATTTAATATTAGTTGTTAGCTAGTACTCCTAAGTTTTTTTTTGTTTTTTTTGCCGAACAGAAGTGTTTGGTACTCCAGAATATCAGATGGTGTATAAAGAGATTAATTTGGTTTGATAGTTTGGCGAATACATTGTATAGATAATTATATAAAATTGGTTAAAACCATTTGCAAAGCGTTAAGACGTCTAAATTGTTGGAGAAGTTATAAAGCGTTCAAATTAGTTTAAGTCAGTTTAGTTAAGGAGAGAGCGAAAAAATTATTTTATTTGATTTATATCGCCGACGTTTCGTTGCTCTTATAACTTCTGCCTCAGGATACTTTATTTTAATAACGATATCATCTCTATTCTTTAGAAGTTTCATATTTAAAAATAACATGTTTAAATTAAATTAAAAGTAATAAAGAATATTTAATCATATTGTCAGATTACATAAGCTTTTTGGAAAGAACATATAACGGATTTAAAACTTTATTAAGTTTTAGGTTCATAATGCGTCTGTTGCACTTCGAAACAACAATTGCTCTATTGTGTCACCGAAAAGTTCATTACACTATTGCCATTTTATTAATTTATAATATATAATACTTGTTTCTCTCTCTAATTGATTATTTCGGAAAAAATCGAACGAAAACGCGGTATTGGTAAGAAACAATTTTCATGACTGCGAAACATTCGTCAATGGACCTAAATACAAGAGATTGGTAGCCTTACAAATATAGCTAACATAGATACAGAGAACAATACGCAGAAATCCTAAAAAAATATGTAATTGTGTTTATCAAAAGCTAATTAAACAATATAGTATTATGTTATATGATCATCAATATTCGAAATTAAATTGTGTTTTACATACATACTTAAACATTTTAAAAATCGAGTGTTTTCATTTGGGAAAGATCAGTTATAGCGATTTATATTTTATACATACATATTGCAGTAAAAAGTTTTTAAAACAAATCATTTTCAAAATTTACTACATCATCATGGATGTTAATATTAATATGTAATTTAAATTAAGAACTTCCAAGTAATTAATTTAAATACAAAGAACCTTAAATAATGAAAAATTAAAAAAGGAGTTTTTTCTAGCAATAATAGGATGAAAGTTTACTAGCAAAAGCTTATCAGTTTATAATGTATAGAATGATAATATATATTATTTATTTATTTCTATTTGAGCCAGTGCACTTGAGAATTTCTACTCTTTCTGAACTCCAGATATTTTTAAAATCCCTCTTTACGAGTTTTGATTTATATCTTTTTAATTACTGGTCATCAATTTTTCCGTAAATAAACAAGATTTGCTTTATATACATATATATAATATATATGGATATAGTGCAAATATGGATAAAAATATTAAATAATTTCATACAAAAATTATAATTATATCCTAACCAACGATTTCATTTTCTTTTTTATAACAAAATATAAGTTTATTTGGAATAAACAATAATAAATATAAAAAACAAAAAGAATCATAAACAAAATAAATACAAAATATTTTAAATACAAAATATTTAAAATACAATATATTTCAAAATACGGAATATTTCTATAGAAAAAATTTTCAACTAAACTACTCGGTTTTAATATATCAGTTAAAAAATATGTGTCACGACTTTTAGGCATTGGGGAAAGATTTCTAACATGAGCTCATATATTGCTGTATTATTGAGAGACAGTCGAATATACCATTTCTATTTGTTTTATTATATCAAAGTATTATTAATATTAAAAAAAAACAATTATACATTATGATCTATTAGATCTTTATCGTATCGAAAGTGTCCAAAAGCTATATTAAAACTAATTCTATATTTAATATGATCTACTTATTCGGAGCTCTATATCAAATTCGGTTTAATAAAAGTTAGTACTGTAAATATTTCTTGACAATTGTAGGACATAAGCAGTTAACAGTGGGTAACAGTGGATAGGTCAACCGTAAAACATGAGCAGTTAAAATGGGTGCAATACTTTGGTATACTTTGCATTTCATAAAATCTGATATAATAGTGATTAAGAATACTTGCATTTTTAAATTATTTAGATTGAATACTCTCTCAAAACAATTGTAATAAAAGCATATAACAATTTATAAAATCAACGGTTTTATGAACACTTACATTGCCATGAACTGCATTGCATCTTTCTCTAATAAAGACTTCATTACAATATCTAATCATTTTTTTATGAATAAATAGTTATATTATCTCACTTTGAAAATTAAAACTTCTTAGTACGGAAGTATATTTTATATAAAAAAAGTTGCATTTTGGCTGTACATGAAAAATTGAAATTGTTTACAGTTCTTGTTATAGTCTGCCATACGATACGAAATCCTGACTTTGCCATACTGCTGCTTATTTATGTAGATCTTTTGTAAGTCAAAAAGCCAGATTCAAGTTAATATCGCTCTGTCATATAAATTACAATTAATTAAATGCACACGGCAACAGGGAAATTAGAAGAAATTAAATTGAAATTAATTTGCGGCTTGTAGCTTAAATTGTACTGAGTCAGTTTTAATTGCAATATATCACGAGCCCAATTAATAAAATATACTATATATTGCTTTGAAAAAACTGCATGACAACACTTATAAAAAATATGAGATTTTATAAAAAATATAAATTCAAAATTTGTAAAAAAAAGTTGAATATATTCATAATTATTAAATTAATATTGAAAATTGTTTAAAAACGTTTATTAGTATTAATTTATTGTAAATTATATATTGTATATTGGGACTAATACAGGGTACGAATATAATTAAAATGATGTTACATGTTACCATTATACAAGCAGTTCTAACGTATTATATTTCAAATTAATTTAGATATGATAACTATTTGTTTATGGAAACCAAAAATAATGAATAATATTGTTATGTATCTAACCGAAAAATCACTTAAAATTTTATAAAGACTATATCTAAGTAACCCAAGAGTTTCTGGTTTCAAATCGCTTAATTAATTTATGTAATCATAGGCTTCAGAAAAAAGTTTTCGTTTTGTTCGACGTACTCAAACTACTTCTGATATCTCATCATATATTTGATGAGATATGAGCAATGATATGTGATATACATGTATGTATATATGTATAATTTTAAAAACTTTGACAAATAAAAAACTAATATTTATCATTTTAATGATACATTAGAGAGCACTTCAAAAATGTAGAATTGATTTCATATATGCTGAACCTTAAAATATGTTAGATATTATGCGCAATATCTGAAGTTAGCTTCAGCCAATGGCATGTTATATGAGATTACAGAAGATTAATGGATATGCAGAGGAATAAGTCAAGTTGACTGCGGTTTTTCAAAGTTTTTTACCCCCGTATCTCAATATGCCTTCAAAAAACTGAATTGGGAAGCCAAAAGCATAAAGATTGAAAGCAAATTTTTAACCTACTTGCGGTTTGTGGATGATATGGTCTTAATAACTGATAATTTGCATGATGCAAAAGATATGCGAATGCAATTGAAGCAGATTGCACTTACTACTGGTTTACATCTAAAAAAAAAACAAAATTTATGACAAGTTTAGTAACAAGTGATAAACTTACAATGAAAAAGAATCTGTAAATAAATAAGGAGATGAGTGAGTATAAATATTTTAGGCATAAAAGTATAGTCGGTAAAGGTAACCAAACCCACAAAGTAAATCAATGGAATGGTTTGGATAGGCGCCGTTTGTTAAAATGACTGATATCTTTAAAACCATTCATATATTCATCTTAAAAGATAGCTATACGATCAGTGTGTGCTGTCAGTTATAGTGTATGGGTGTAAAAACTACAGTTTATAAGCAAGTGGCAGCTTAAGTGATAAACATAATCGAAAGAATAACCAAACTAAAGTGGCAATGGGCTACATACGTGATAACCATGACAGACAGTTGATGGACTTAATGAATTTTTTGAAAGCATGCCCAGGAAAGATAAGTAACAATTGGAAAACTGCTTCAAAATATGAAGCGATGATATTAAACAAAAAAAAAATTTTTGGAAAATATGTGGAATTCCAAATAAAGCAAAAAGGAAGTATTTAGAGGATGGTTATATTCATCAGATTGTAAATGGTTTGGTTATGAATAATAAATTTAAAAACTAAAATTAAACGCCAAAGGAACTTTTAAAAATAAATGCCTAATTTTTTAATTCTTTTAATAAGATTATAAATATTATCGATTATCATTTTATCGATAATGGTTTTATTGCTTGAAGATTTTCTATGAACTTTTAACTAAAGTACTGTTGTTTGTTTTTAATTATTAAGTTTTTTATTTTATTTATATATTGTTTAAATTAAAATTTGTTAATGGTGAACAATGAATTT